ACACCCACCCAACCACAACCCCCCACCACCTTAACCCATAACCAAATATCACCACCCAACCCAAAACCACCACACAACCATACAACCCACAACACAAGCCGAGCCACCACACAACCACAACACCCCAACCCGCATCACAACACACCCAACCACCAAACACCAGAGCCATCATACCACAACCACATGTTGACATCTCAAAGTTAGTAAACTATGATCTGAATTCATACAAACACCATAAGTCATAACCACCACCCTAACCCACAACCAACCACAACTCAACCACACAACCACAATGCCATTGATACAAATTAATGATGAAAGAGAAGGTGGATGGGATCTCAGGGGTTAAAAGTAAAATTCATTAGCTTCTACACTTTCAACAATTTTCTTCCTCATATTATGGAGGAGGGAAAAGGCACTAAGAATGTTTTTTGAACTTTTTAAGCATTGTATTCAAACATTGGGTGAAAGAGGTGGGAATAAACTATAGAAGTCATAGTAGAGAATGACCAAAATGATAATGACAATTATATTGAATAATGCTGGAAGAGAAGGTGAATGATTATAGTAGATTTCCTTGGCCTAAATACTTTCACAAATTATCTTACGCATATTGAGATCTTGACACAGACACTGATAAGAATAGATAATTTATTGAGTACTTCTGAGCTCATTTAACATACAAAAATTTTGATAGCATATTATGCATATAAAAGAGATGAGCACCCACGCTACAACCACCATAACCCACAACAATCAAATCATTACCTCTATCAGCTTAAAGTTAAACTCTAAATTTACCACAACACTACCACATTTGCACTGAATTCACACAACCACCATGACTCACAGCAGAGCCACCACTCTAACCCACAACCACCACCCCAACACACAACCAACTACCATCACCCAAACCCACAAGTAACATACAACCACAAAACCCATAGCACAAGCCAGAGCCACCACATAACCACATCACCTCAACCCACATTACAACACAACAACACAACTACCACAACAACGCTAACCACCAAAACTCAGAGCCACACCATAACATGACACCCCAACCCACATCACAACACAAGTCAGAGCCACTACCTCAACCCACATCAAACTACCACCACCCAACCCACGTTCACCACACAACCACACAACCCACAACACAAGCTAGAGCCACCACACAACCATATCACCCCAACTCACATAACAAGACATCCACACAACTACCACAACTTAGCTAACCACCAAAACATAGGGCCACCACACCACAACTATATATGCACTAAATTCACACAACCACCATAGCTCACAGTAGAGCCACCATAAGTCAGAGCCACCACTCTAACCCAAAACCACCACCCCAATCCACAACCAATTACCATAACCCAAACCCACAATTACCACATAACCACAAAACCCACAACACAAGCCAAAGCCACCATCAAACCACAATACCCCAACCCACATCATATCAAAACCACACAACTACCACAACATATTCAACCACCAAAACCCAGAGCAACAACACAACACAACACCCCAACCCACATCACAACACCCCAACCCACATCATAGCGCAAGCCGAAGCCCAACCCACAACCACTGCACAATCACATAACCCACAACTAACCAACAAAACCCAGAAGCCATCCCGCCACAACCACATATGCATGAAATTCACATAGCCACCACATCCCACAACAGAGCCATACAACCCATAGTAGAGCCACCACAGTAGACAACCACCATATCACAAGCATGAACACCACGACTACCCCACCAACCCACTATAAAAACCAACAGCAATCCACCAGCCCATCAAACAACCGCCACCAAATCCACGGTGAAGGGCATCACCTAGATAAAGAAAATCCAACACCAAAGAAAAACCTCAAAGAGAACATCTAATCAAAAATTAATCGAAAATCAGCAAGAGAACAATCAATCGAAAGCCAACAAGAGAAAAATTAATCACAAAAACATAATGTCAGACACAAGTTGGAAGAGAATACCACAGGCCGAAGGAGAGGAAATGATCCAAGCAAATACGAGACATGGATCACAAACTGGACATGAGGAGGCGACCGGGGAGAGAAAAGCTTGAAATGAGAAAGGGGAGAGTAAATCTCGGTCGCGAGAAGGGAAGGGAAAAGCTCGGTGTGGTCACGAGAGAAGAGAGGGAGAAGCTTAGTTGTTAAAGAGGGCTCGAGATAAGTTAGTAAAAAAACGCAGCGACATATAATAGAAAATGAGGGCCGAGGGTCATACCTGCGGCCTGCATTCTGCCGAAATTATCCAAAATGCCCCCAAAACATATCATCCGAACGAAAAATGTGCGTGATAAGTTAGTAAAAAAACGTAGCGACATATAATAGAAAATGAGGGCCGAGGGGTTATACTTGCGGCCTGCATTCTGCCGAAATTATCCAAAACGCCCCCAAAACATATCATCCGAACGAAAAATGTGCGACTTGAGGCTGCACCGCGTAAGATAAGTGACCTAAACGTACCCTTAGACGAAAAGAAAATTTTATAAGATGACGGTCAGACCTATAAGGCTCTATGGCGCAGAATGCTGACCTTTAAAAGAGAAGCATAAAAATAAGTGTAAGTGTTGCTGAGATGAGATTGCTTGGGTGGATGAGTGGCTTTACACTTAGAGACAAAATGCGAAATGAATATATTCATGATAGGGTTGGTGTAGCTCCTGTGGCTGACAAAATTAGAGAGAATCATTTTGGATGGCTTAACCACACTAAACGTCAACCATCTAATGATCCGGTTAGGAGAGTAAATGTTTTAGATTCGACCTATATTAAAAAAGGTAGAGACAGACCTAGAAAAATTTAGGCATATTGTACAAGGATGATCTTAATTAATTAGAATTAAATAAAAATATGACACTGAATAGGACTTAATGGAGAAAAAAGATTCATAAAGCCGACCCCAAGTATTCTATTAAAAGTAGTTAAATATCAATTTAATTTTTTTTGAAATAATTAATTATTAATTAGTACAAGATAATAATAATTTATTTAAATAAAGTTTTATTAAGCAAAATACTCTAAACAATCATCCTACAATGGTGAATTTTGCATTACATGTAGATTATCTAACTTCAATTAATTTGATAATACATTAAATATTAATAAATCAAATTAATAAAATTAACTTTAATAAAAATAAATTAAAACGAAAGAGCTATCTCCTCTCCTTCGCTCCCCCTTCCACTTTCGCCTGAAGGCATCTCCTTCGCGCCGGAAACCTCGCGATAGAGTCATGCTCTAAATCCGTTACCAGAGAGCCCCTAGATGCGAGCTTCGATTGGTTCTGCCCTCCGCCTCTTTCGACTATCCTCGCTTCATCGAGTTCCGCCTTCATCTTCTTTCTTCAAATTCTTCTGTCCAGTAAGTGCTCCACATCCCATCCTTCTGCTTTGCATGGACAAGGGGAACCCAGCCAATTCCCATCACTCGAAGCCCTTCTCCTCTTCAGCCACCTCCAGCAAAAGGTAATCTCCGACTAGTTCCAATCACTATGTTTTCATTCATGTCCTAATCAGGGTTCATGATACTTTTTCTCTCAGAAGCGGGAGAGGGCGGGGGAGGGATTTCAGTAAGGGAGATTCTGTCGGCGGTGAGGACCATCGGATTGATGCCCTTGGTCGACTAATGTACTTCTCCATACCAATCTCTTATATCTAATATCAAAATTGTCTTCCGTTGGATCTTGGACAAAACTTTTCAGTTCCAGTTAGCGGGATTTATATAGATTTTTGGGCCATTTTGATTAAATTTTCAGGACTAGGATTCTTCGTCATATGGCTGCTGAGGTGAACTTGGAAATGAGAAGTGATGGGTTTGTTCGTGTTGGCGACTTGTTGAAGCTGAATCTAACTACGTATGCTAAAGTGCCGCTAAGAGCACACACTATTGAGGATGTGAAGGAGGTCAGTAGAAATAGCTTTTGTTTGTGAAATTAATATCGATAATCATACAATGGGATGCTACCAATTCCACATTTATTTCCAATGCTTTGGCTTCCTCTGATATGGTTTTCTATATAAAATTAGAGTACATCTAAACAATAATTCTTTTAAAAAAGTGGGTTGAATAAATTATTCTCTGGGATTCTTCGTATATGGATAAAAAAGTTAGATTTGAGCAAAATGTCTTAATCTAATGAAGAGTCTTAAAATCTGGTAAAAGACTGTGTTTGTGTAATATTCCACATAATTCTTATGAATATACATATCTAAATCTTAAATTTTAATATTAATGAATATAACACTCAAATTGTTTGCAGCCCATAAAAAAACACTATTATTAACTTCTCAAAAGTTTAATACACCTTTTTATTCATAGATTTATGACACCAACATATCATAATGTAAATATAAATGTTTGGGTGATACAAATTTTCCTAACTTTATATATAGTAAAATATTCTATATTAATTACTTCATATCAAAT